TTGACACTGAAACGCTTCGGCGAAGGGTGGGAAGTTTTTCAACGTGTTCAGAGTCCTTTCCCTCGCTGAGCTGTGGCCGTCGTTGTATAAGTGATTAGGAACGTTTCGAGGCGGCCGAATTTCGCACAGCATGTGGGCAAACGACAAAAAGAAGACCTGGTCTACCGAATATAACTTCAACGCTGGCAATGGTTTGAAGGCTGAGTCGTTGGTGTTTTTATACGCGTTATAAGCGATCTTCAGTCCGGTATTATCGGCTAAGTTCTCATCGAAAGTTTTCTCGCCGCTTACCCATGAGTCAATATCCAGGTAGCAGCTGGCTGTGTACAGATTGGTCAAGCATCGTTGCATTTCATCGAAGCCCTTGCGAGATGACGCGGTCATCGTTTGCACCAACGTACCGTTGCTACTAAACTGCCGACCCTGAAAGCAACGACCTGTAAAGCATGCTGCTGAAGCGTGCATGTTTACTAGCCACCTTCACGACCGAACGCTTCAGACATCTGGTAACCGATGACCGTGCCGATCGACGCATAATTGACCACCTTCGGAAAGTCGCCTCGAAAATAAGGGGGGTTCATAATTGCTGCCGGTATGTCCACTGCGTTTCTTTGCTTCAAGTACCAAGCATTCACTTCGGCCGACGAAAAGGGGGTCGTTTTTCGCTTTGGCTCGTCCATAAGGGTGTCGTACACTTCGTCCTGACGAAACACCGTCAACGTTATAAGACATTTGACAAAATCATCCTTTGGTTTGATGACTATCGACAGATTGCGGTAATGTTGGTCCAGTAGTTTGTTATTGAGTACCCAGGAGGGACCCGCGATGTTCACGATGATATTGGATAACTTATCGTGAAAATTTGCCTTCGTTTGGGCATCCAGCCATGCAGCATTGTCCATGATTTCGATGAACGACTTCAAGATATGGTCAGCAATAGATCTGAAAAGCCGCGTTATGGTGATCAGTATTAAAGCAGTGATTTAGTTCGTAAACTTTACAGTCTTCTTTGTTTCGCTGCCTTCTGTCAAGTGTTCGCCCTTAGCAGGAGGAAAATGAAATGGCTCTATGAACGTCTAATTCCATAGACGTTTATCATGGAGCCATTTCCGAACCGCTTGTTTTCATTAAGTTAAAGATGGGACGCTGGTTTCCATTTCCATGCAGTCAACCAGGAAAATCATAGTTTACAGGCAGCTATGTGATCAGAGTAGTGTGTAGTCTGTTTCCTTCCCACAGTGTGGTACTCATTTATCAACCTCGGAAGGAAGCATGTGAGTAGTCCTGAGCAGAGGTCGAACCCACGGCCTTTCGGTTCTACTGACCGAGGACCCCGGTGTCAAGCAATTTGTGGTAAATTTATTGCCGGGGTTAAGACAAACGTTTCTGTCCAACCGAAATCGAACTCAGCACCTCTGGAGTTCGAAATCAGCCTCTATCGCAATGTGCCATCACTTTCCATTCTATAAGTGTTCTGCTCTGTTCTGTTCCATTCTGTTGTTGCTCTGAAGATATTTTATCCCTTCGATTAGGTTACCTTCTTAGAAGTGATTTAAGTTTTTACATCAAGTTTGCTTGTTTGGATACGCCTACATCGTTGCCGCCTTAATCAGCCTCACGATGACTTCATGCTGACATTTAGTGTTCAGTGACAACAGCCTTGTGATACCCTGTTTCGATTGGGCCACTGGATCTGTCTATGCTTAATCTACCGTGCATGACTCTTCCTGTCCCCGTAAGGCTGATGCGCATAGTTCATTAGTAGTATTTTTTCTGCAATGCATTCGCAAAGGAATGAAAAACGGTAATTAAATTAGGTCTCAGCCGTCCCATGAACTCTGGACGCTAACTAAGGTTTCTTCCTATAAGCAGCAAAGCAATGTCCATATCGAACAAGGTCAAAGTGAACATTATTTGGTCACATGGGTGATGGGGGGGGGTGTTGATGATATTTATGTATACCTGACGTTCGCGGTAGTCGATTGATCATAGACGGACTGGACGTAAATGCGTCCGATCACGTGAGGAAGGTACTGCATCAACAGTTCCAGGCATTCCTGCTTCGAAACGGAAATTTTGGATCCATTTCTGCTATGTATGGCACGAGTGGATACGCGGCACACCAAAACAGATATTTGACGAGCGTGTGATTCGAAATGGCTATGTGTTTTGCCAGCCAAGCATCAATCTCGTCGTACAGCACTGGATCGAGAACGATGTAGTTCACCGTTTCTTTAAGCTGTCTCTAAATGAGGACATATCAATATAATCCGATCGTACTCCTGGACAGGGGTAAATTTTACATAGCATATGGCGGCAATAATAATTCATATTGTGTAAACAAGTCAACTGGTAATACATATTTCCAAGAAAACCGCATTTAAGCTAAACAGTAAAGCACTCCCAAAGAAGAGGAAGCGAAAATACTTGAGATATATTACTTAAGTATTGTTGTTTTCAGTTAAAAGCTGTTTGATCCAACAAAGTAAATCCGAAGACCTTAATTGGGTTTGGTAGTGTGATATTCTTGTATCTATATTTTCTCTTGACTTCTGTCGAAGTATATGTTTTGAATAGCAAACGAGGGTAATGATTTGCTTTGCATTAGTTTTTGACTAGCTGAATTTAGACATCAGAATGTACTACCCATCTTTTTAACCACAAATGCTATTCCTTTCTCTACTGAATTACCCGAATCCAGTCCAGACGATGTCTTCTGTTCAGATGGTGAACTGCATGACCTTTGACATTATCTCTTGTGGAATATTAAAGATAAGGATATAATATGTTCCAAACCTTGTGTAGAATATCCATATTTCTACATATATATTCATTGTTTCTAACAGCTACTTCTTCAAGATAATCTCTCGAAACAAAATGATATGTTATACCTACTCAGAGGGTTATCAACGAGTATCCCAATTTTATGTAATCAGTTCCAATGTCCTACTATCCTCCCGTAAAGGATTATGTTTAGCCTTGTCCATTTTTAGCGGTAGTCCCCGAAACAACAACTTAGAGAAGCAATAACACAGAGATCTACTGACGCGTTTGCTCAAAGGATTCTAAAATATGGATATTCTATACAAGGTCTTTGGAAGACATTATCTCTTGTGAAATATTAAAGATAAAGATATATCTTCCAAAGACCTTGTGTAGAATATCCATATTTCAGACAACTTTGAGCAAACGCGTCAGTAGATCGCTGTGTTATTGCTTCTTTAAGTTGTTGTTTTGGGGACTACCACTAAAATGGACAAGGCTAAACATAATCATTTCCGAGAAGATAGTAGGACATTGCAACTGATTACATAAAATTGGGATACTCGTTGATGACCCTCTGAGTAGGTATAATGTATCATTTTGTTTCGAGAGATTATCTTGAAGAAGTAGCTGTTAGAAACAGTGCGTCATATTGTAGTTCTTCCTTGTTTCTGATACTTAGATCTTTGCACCCTCAACGATTTGAACACCAAGCGGAGCAGCCAGAAACTTATAAAGTTGTATACATAGAAGTCACGGCTCAAAAGTCGCAGTTTGCATGTGCGATGGAAAACACCAGAGCGGTAGCTTTTAGTGTTTCTGATAAAATTAGTCAGGCGTCATCTGTCAGTGTGATGAAGGTCAGCATTTCAAATAGTATCGTCCGCTCGTTTAGTTTTTTATATTATATAGCCAGTCAATTCCGTGTGTTCTACAAGTCACTGAAGCCCCATTTTGGCAGCTTAAATTACTTAGGTGTCTCAGGTTACAATCACTTGATTGATGATAAAATGAAGTCAGACAACTGAGTGCAGGATTGTGGAGGCTAAATTGGCTCCTGGAGCAAACTGCTAAAGAAGCAGCCGAGCGTTCGTGCGAAAGTGTCCGCATTAAAGTCTGTTCTGTCGCCTATCCAGTTACAATGACAAAGTTGCACATGCTGATTATCATAATTATTAGGCAATTATCGGGTGGGTGAAAGCAAATTGTAGTCTTGTGAAACTCTCGCATGATCAGCATCGCAGTATCTTCCATTCTGGTATGATCGCATCAGAACACAATGTTGTCCCTGTTGTTTGCAAGTCAACGACTTGCTGTCCGTTTCTTGGCTGTTTGCACTATGAAAAGGTAAATTCTTTGCCCAAGAGAATTTAAGATGAAGATAACGGTTGTCCCTCGTATGGAGTCGAATCCTGCACCTCAGTTATTTCAGCAGGTCGAACTCACTGTTCCGCCACACACACTATCTTTACCTTTGACCTGTATGCTCACACGGACCAAAACGGTGTTGCCGCTGATACAAGAGACAGAACTGAAATTTCTTTACATGTTGCTAATGTTGTGAGGGTGGATGAGAACTGCAAGACCATGGTCAGAGATGCACGCGTTTAATTCTCGAGATCGGGACCAAGACGTTAATTGTTCGGACGAGTGAACAAGATTTTATTTTGGAGGGTCGCAGAGCTCGGTTTCAGTTCACAGAGCCATGTGAAAGATGTAAATTGAGATGGATGAGCTACATCGATCGTCTGATATGATGAGGTATTCTGCACGATATCAGAATTCACTCATGGATGATAGTTGATTTGGCGAGAAATGGAACTTAAATATTTTCTGAAGCTATTGCTGACACCCTTTCCCTCCAAACCGACGCAGAACTGCATTTAAAGATAAGAAAATAGATATTTGTTTGACTCAAAATTGTCGACTTTTTTGTTTAGTGTAGGAATCTTCTTAGATGATTTACTAGGTGCAAAATGTTGTTTTGTGTTGTTGTTGTTGATCACAATCCATCAGTGAGTCCAAATTTCGTCGTAGAAAATAGTTGCTGACATTTTTCCTTTAAATAATCGTAAACGACGATGGGTTCCTTCTATCAGACGGTCAAGTTTACCTACAGGTTTGGCACAGTAAAGATTTATGAGACATAAATCGAGACCGTTGCCACGGTTTGCCTTGTTGTACTGTTTTTATTTTTAAGTTATTAAACATATGGTTAATATATTATTAACTGTGACAAAAATTGTGTAAAACATGGTTTACTTATATACAGCGCAAGTCGATAGAAGGAGGCAGAAGGCCTTCTGGAC